TTCAAATTCGACCTTCCAAAATGAATCACTTCACACTTTTCTGGGTTGAATTCCATCTGCCACTTCTTTGCCCAGCTCTGCATCCTGTCAATTAATACATACATTACATTCAGTCCCTTCATAGTGATTATAAATTGCCAAAGTCAAGCTGCAGGACCGCAAGAGTGACAGCTTGTCAACCCATATAATGGCCATTTATTTGCATTCTGTTTTCTGCCTATTAACAAATGCTCAATATGTTAACATTTTACCTGCAATAAAATGAGTCATAATTTTGTGATGTCTCCCTAAAAGCTTTTTGAAAATCCAAATGCATGACATCCACTGGTTCTGCCTTATATTCTCTATTAGTTAAAATCTCAAAGTTCAACAGATCTGTCAAACAGATTTTGTTTTGATAATTCTCTGTTCATGCTGCCTTCAAATCAAGTTATGATTTTCTAAGTGTCTTACTATAGCTTCCCAAACAATAGATTCTAGCAGCTTTCTCCTAAGAAGGGTCCCGACCCGAAACGTCAACTTTCCTGCTCCTCTGATGCTGCCCGGCCTGCTGTGTTCCTCCAGCTCCACACTGTGTTATCTCGGACTCCAGCATCGGCAGTTCTTACTATCTCTCTAAGTGGTCATAGTACCTGGTTTCTCTCTTACCTCTTTTCTTGAACAGTGAGGTGAACATTTGCTTTGTTTTATTAATTCATTCATAGGACGTGGGCCAGCATTTATTGCCCATTCCTAATTGTGGGTCTGGAGTCACATGTTGACCAGATCAGGTAAGAATAACAGTTTCCTTCCCTAAGGAATTAGTGAATCAGATGAGTTTTTCCTGACAATTGACAATAGATTCATGGTCATCATTAGACTCTTAATTTCATATTTTTTTCTTTTTCCATCCACTGGGACTCTTCTACCATTTCAGTAATTCTGGAAGATCAAATATATCCACCATCTCTGTATCGTCCTCTTTTAAAACAAGAAGGCAGGACAGCAAGGATAGGCTTTAGTCTCATTCATCTCACCTTGCTATTACAAAGAAACATAGCAAATAGGAGCAGGAGTAGTTCATTCAGTTATTCGAACCTGCTCCACTATTCAATATGATCATGACTGATCATCCAACTTAGTACCGTTTCCACTTTCTCCCTATACTCTTTGATCCCTTTAGCCTTAAAAACTGTATCTACCTCCTGGTTGAAAACTCTCAATGTTTTGACCTCAACCACTTTCTGTGGCTTGGGCAACAAAATTTTTCATTATCTCAGCCCTACATGACCTGTCTTGTATCCTTAGACTGTGACCCCTGGCTCTGGACTCCCCAGTCATCAGGAACATCCTTCCTTCATTTAACCTTTCTTGTCCTGTTTGACTTTCATAGAAATCTACGAAATTCCTCTCTCATTCTTCTAAAGTCCAGTGAATAAAGTCCTAAATGATCCAGTGTCTCTTCATACATCGGTCCTGCTATACCAGGAATCAGTCCAGTAAACTTTCATTGCACTCCCTCAATAGCCTAAACATCCTTCTTCAATCTCCTTAACAATCTCTCACATCCCTTTCTGAATCTAAAATCCCCCAATCCTCATATTTTGTTTTTCTTTGACAATATTATAAGCTCCTGCCTTTCATCTAAAACAATCTTGAACTTCTCTTATTAACCAAGATTAGAACACTTTTCCCCATGAGATTTTATTTCTTAAGGGACTATGTATTTATTCAAAGTTATTACTTTTTTAATGTTTGTTATTGCTTATCTATCAGCATACTTTTAAAAAAGTACTTTCCAATCTACTTTGGCCCTTGTCCTTGCCTAGTTCGCTTAGTTCACATTTAAGACCCTACTTAGTGATTTAACTAAATCACTTTCAAACACAATAGAAAATTTAACGTATTATGATCACTTATCCCCTTGAAACCCCCTTACTTCAAATGTCATTAATTAATATCTTCTGATTTCACAGTTCGAGATCTAAAATAACCTGATCCTAGTTGGTCCCCAATGTACTGGTTTAGAAAATTAACTTATATATTTTCCATGAATTTGTCCTCAATGACATTATTGCAAATCTGGTTTATGCAGTGAATAAGCAAATTAAACTTTACACAAATTAAACTTTAAACTACATTACCCTTGTTCTATGCACCTCTAACTTCTTGATTTATATTCTGTCCTAAACAACAACTACCATTTGAGAAGCTTTAACTACCGTCTCTACCGAGTTCTGCTCGTGTTGTTTAAGCTCCTCACAGACTGATTCTACAAATTGATTTTCCAAGCTAAGATTTCTTTTCTCTATTGTCATGACCCCATTCTTTATTATCAGGCTTACCTTCAAACTCCTTTTCCTTTTGTATACTTCTTCCAAAACTGAGATATTCTAGAATATTTCATTTCCACCTTGGTCACCTTGCAATCACATACTAAATCAATCTCAATTTTATCTGTGGTATTATCTCATCTATTTTACTAGAAATTTTTGTGCATTGAGGTAAAGTGCCTATAGCTTTGATCTTTCCATTTTCTGAAGTCACCTTAGTTGCTACAGCTAGAGTTGCCTCAAAAATGTCAACAACGGACCAAGGCTATGTCAGATTTCAGGATTTGTCAGTTTTCAGGGAAGAAACTGGACTTCCTTAATTTGAGTCGGAAAAGTTAAGTACATGATGCCTTGGCTGCTGTACTACGTTGGTCAAATAAAAAACACTTCAGCAAAGTAATGGAAGGGATCATCAACAATGTCATAAAGTGGTATTTTCAAAGGAATAACCAGCTCACTGACACTCAATTTGGGTCCTGCCGGGCCACTTGGTTCCTGACCTCATTACAACAGTCATCCAAATTTAGATAAAACAGCTGAATTCAACAGGTGAGACTGATTGCCCTTGACATCAAATGCCAGGGTGATATTAAGGGGCTCAAGCTAAACTGCAGTCAGTGGGAATCAGGGGGCAAACTCTACATTATACTCCGTCTGACTGCAGCCAAAGGAGGATAGTTGTGGTTGTTGAAGGTCAGCCATCTCAGCTCCAGGATATCTCTGCAAGAGTCCCTCAGCGTATCCATGAAGAAAAAGTTTGCTGATGATTGCACCGTGTTCAGCACCATTCATATCTACTCAAATATCAACCAATCCCACATCCATTTACAGCAAGACCTGGACAACATCCAGGCTTGTGTTGCTAAGTGGCACGTAACATTTGTGCAACACAAGTTCCAGACAATGACCATCTCCAACAGGCGAGAAGCTAACCATTGCCCTTTGAGTTTCAATGCCATTACCATCATTAAATACCGCAGCAACATCCTGGGAGTTACCATAGACCAGAAACTCAACTGGACTCATCATATAAATACTGTAGCTACAAGGGCAGGGCCAAAGGCTGGGTATTGTGCCTACTGACTCCCTGCAAAATCTGTCCATCATCTACAAGGCACAAGTCAGGAGTGTGATGGAAAACTCTTCACTCGCCTGGATGAGCACAGCTCCAACAACACTCAAGAAGCTCCACACCATCTAGGATAAAGCAGCCTGTTTGATTGGCACCACATCCACAAACACATATTTGCAGCAGTGTGTAGCTTCTACAAGAAGCAATGCAGCAAATCACCAAGGCTCCTTACATAGCACTTTCCAGACCCACAATCATGACCACCGAGAAAGATTAGGGCAATATAAGAACACTACAACTTGCAAGTTCCTCTCCAAGCCACATGTCATCCTTGGAAATGTATCATCGTTCCTTCACTGTCAGAAAAAAATGGAGTTCCCTTCCTAACAGCATTGTGGGTATCTCTACAGCAGTTCAAGGAGGCAGCTCACACCACCTTCTCCAGGGAATTTAGGGATGGCCAATAATGGCACCCCCAGCAACACATTCCATGAACAAATTAAGAAAAAATTGCTACCTTGAAAATAATAAGGAATTTAGCTGAGCAAGTAAGTACCTGAGCGTTGCGTTTCCAAGTGTTAATGCTGCAAATTTATACTGAAAAAGCAAAGTAAGTGCAACCATTGCAAACGATCTTCGAAACTTGAGTTTCTGCAATCTATTGAATTGGTTTTAAAAATATCAGGCTAGAAGCAGACAAAACTTGCTATGTCCCAGGGTGAATTAATCACCCTTGTCCTAATTGCATTTTTATGTCTACAGGTCTCAAAGTGAACTTAAAATTAAGCTGGCTCTTTAGTGATCACTACTCAGCAACTCCCTGAATGTTTCTGAATTGGCTTGGCGAAGTTAAGGTTTTATGCAAGATAGGCATAGAACTGTCTAACTTTCAGAGAAGTCCAATTCTTGGGCATCTAGATTTGAGGTGTTCGACCTGCAACGCTCTGTTACCTCTACTAAGTTGACTGTCCCTTCCTGATCCACTGTTTGATTTAACCTGCATCGCTACTCTGTCGGCCTTGATACTTCTCATTCTTTTTGAATTTACCCTTTACTGAAACCTCTCAATCCCATTCCCCTAAAAACAATTAAAATCGTAACTACTGGCCTACATATTAGATTCACCTGAACACAAGTCCTGGGTCAGCTTAAAATCAGCCCATCCCAGTGGATAAGCTCCCTCTTTCACCAGAATTGATCCCAATTATCCATGATGTGAAACCCCTGCTTCCAACAACACCCTTTCAGCCATAGATTTAACCCTCTAATCTTGACAGTTTTAACTCCCGGTCCTCTGAAGTCATTTGCCCTCTGCTAGAGGGCAGTTCCATGAACACTACTGACCCTCTGGTATCTGGTCCCAGCAGCACATATTCACGTGAGATTTTACAACAGGTATCAGCAGGGTGTTTGAACACATCTGAACCCACTTTTTTCACTCAAACAACAACCAACAGCACGTATGTATGAATTGTAGGAAAGCAATCAATTTTATGGGTCCAAGTTTGATTTTCTGCCTCAAAACTAAATACATTTAGGCAACTTTGTTGTTTCTACTGCTATAGATCTGCTAAGGTTGGACCAGGAATAGCCCTTAGAGACCCTCAAGCCAGTTCCTGCAATCAACAAGATCAGGCTGATCCATATCAAAATTTCATCCAGCTGCTTTGGTTCTATATCTTGTAATACCCCCGGTAAGCAAAACAAATCTATCAATGTCAGTTTTTAAATTATTAGCGGAGCTAGCCTCTTCTGTTTTTTTTTATTTAGGAGGAGGTATTGCCCAAATTCTAGCCTGAATGGGCAATCTCTGATTTTAAGGTTACATACACTAGTCATTGGCTCCCCCACAGTGGAAAAATATATTTCTATCTAATAATTCCTTGGAAAATTCTAAAAAAAACTCAACTAAATCACCAATTTACAATAATTCTCTTTTCTCAAACATAAAATTAACTTTGAAGCAACAAGTACATCTCTCCAACAGTGAACTATGAATATTTCTATCATGGAATGTTAAAGTCACCCTCATAACTAACTTCTGAGTAAGCTGATTCTCCATTTGCACTTACTGGTGAAAGCATATTCTCAGAGACATTTTGGAAATGTGTTTGTCGAAGAAGCCTTCGCTCATATTCTTGGTCCATATTTGTGACAATGTAAGTCGAGGAAGGGATTGGGAGCAGCAGAGCAGAATGTACTGTCAGTCAGAGGATATGAAGTCCCAGTCACCTTGCAGCCTGTCCTAATTTGCATTCCTGCAATAAAAAAGACGCATTTATGCATTAAAGCTAAATGAAGATATTCATTTTTTGGATAAACACATAATGGCTTTGAAACACAATCATGGTTCTGCATTGGATTTTTCATGTAATAACACAAACAAACAATCATATTGGAAACGGCTCATTGTCCAAATTGCAGAAGATAAACAGAAGATTGTCTTGAATGGTAAAAATGGAGTTATGTTATGGAGCAATGTATAAAAGAAAGATCAACTGCTAAAATTCTGCAGACCTCTTGGATTGACACAAAATGCTGTGGCAAAGTCCGAGGTTGTATGTGAAAATGAAAGATTAAATTAAATACTGTCTCTGTGTTGCAAACTGACAGCCTATGAAAATCTTGTAATGTTGCGCATGCTAGAGTGTAGTGGTAAGCAGATCAATTACTATTCTTGATGTCTGAAAATATTCTTCTTGTTCACTGGATTTTCTTGGGCTCATTTGTTTCAGTGGGGAGCCATTTGTTAAAACAATAATCGGAGCTACAAGCAGCTTCATCTTAAACTAGGTTCACTCATAAAATCAGCCTGCTGAAGATCAGTAATTCTGATTTCAGGAGATTGTGATGTTATTGGCAGCTGCATTGGGCTTCTAAAGGGGCCTTATCATGAAAATAGATGCTGGAGCTGTCAGTCCCAATGCCTGTAAGCACAGTTAAGCTATGATCATGGTTCTACTTAGTAGATGAGATCAATGTCCAAGAACTCAAATGTTGGCAGCAGCATTATTCATCTAAATCAACTGTTATTATTCAGCAGTATTCCCAATGGAGCAGGGTCTGAACATCAAACGGAAAACACAGTTTCCCTTTCCTATTCTGAGGGAATTGCTGTATAGATGCAAAGGAAGAACAAACATGCATTTATGTAGCATCTTTTACATGCTCAGGACACCACCAACGAATGACTTGCTAGTTTGCAGATGGTAAGGTCCTGGACACAGGACATGTTCGGTTTCAGTGCTGTTGGCCAAGGAATAAACATTCGCCAGGAAAGTGGGAGAAATGTTTTAAATAATGCCATTGGATTGCTTACATCAGCTTGACCATACAGATCAGGTTTTGATTTAGCATTTCAACTGAAAGACAGCACTTCCAAGAACAGCTTAGATTAGATGCTCAAGTCCCTGAGTGAGATTTGAGCCCAGAGCATTCAGACTCAGCACTATACTATCATTGAGCCAAAGCAGAATCAGCCACCTCCTTTTAAATTAGGGCTCCAGGCTTTAAGGTCCAGTCTATATTAGAAGAAAATTTCCAACAATCTGCAAGAAACAGATGCTTTGGAATGTATTTAGTGAACATCAACAATAAAATTGCTGCAGAGAAGTGGACAAGTAACAACAATGACTCGCACCTGTATTGTGTCTTTAATGTAAAAAATATATGCACTTAGGCCAATGATGAAAGGGTTGGACAAAAAGAGTGTGTTTTAAAGCCAACTGAGGTAGCTTTAGTGTGGAAGACACAAGAGATGTGCATAACTTGCAATATCAAATGTTTGCATTTTATTACAAATTTTAACAAACACAAAAAATTATGTTGAAGCAATTCTTTGCAAAAATCAATTGCTGGCTTGGGTTTTGGTATAAAGAAACAAGTCTCACCCATTTTCAGACACCTTAAAATACCACGATAGCTTCAAAAGTAAGTCACTGAAACTAAACCAATGATACCAGGCTAAATTTAGAAAAGCTAATGATCCCATGAATGACTAAAAGAAATAGATACCTCTTGGTGTCGGTTCATTTCCAACTGCTACATAGAAATTATAACTTGGAAACAGACTACGTGGCACAACCAATCCATGCTGGTGGTTCTCCACCATACTAGTAACAATTGGCAGTTCCTGTATCTCTCTGTTCCTCTTTCTTCCAATCACGTCTCATCCATTTCTAAATGTTGACATATCCTCAGCAGTATCCTCATCCATGTTAAATAATGGACACGATAAATAGTTTCATGTGGTGTACTTCCGCTGATGGTTGAAGGGATTAATCTGGGAGAAGCAGGTTTTGTCACAATGAAGTGGTTATCAGATATCATTGCGGGATGCTGTTTTTGGCATATTCAAGTTGTAGTCACTGATCATCATACTGGCACATCTTAACCCACAGCCAACATTGCCATTTCCACATGTTGTTCACTACAGTTTCTCATGTGTGAAAGATCAATGCTTAGAGTCTTAATGTCATGCTTATTGTATCCTTAAAGTGGAACTCCACATCAATAATAGCCTTGGAGTGAAAGTGGTATAGTGATAATGTCACTGGTCGAGTAATCCAGAGACCCAGTCTAATGTTCTAGGCAACTCCAAACATACCATGAAAAATGGTGAAAGAAAGATAGTGGGAACTGCCGATGCTGGAGAATCTGAGATAACGAGGTGTAGAGCTGGATGAACACAGTAGGCCAAGCAGCATCAGAGGAGCAGGAAGGCTGACGTTTTGGGTCTGGACCCCGAAACATCAGCTTTCCTGCTCCTCTGATGCTGCTTGGCCTGCTGTGTTCATCCAGCTCTACACCTTGTTATCTATGAAAAATGGTGAAATTTGATTTTAATAGAAATTTCTGGAATAAAAGGCTGGCCTAACGGTGACCATTTAACAATCGTTGATTGTCATAAAAATCCGTCTGATTCATTAATGTTCTTCAGTTATTACCATCATTAGCTGGTCTGGCCTACATGCGACTCCAGACTCCAGTGGTCAATTCTTAACTGTCTCCTGGGTAATAGGGGCAGGCAACAAAATGCCGAGCCAGCAATACCCATGTCCCATGAACAACAAAAAAAAAAAGTCCATTATGTTTTCCAACCTGTGAATGTGCCTGAGGCAACAAAATCACCTCTGCTTGATGAGTGCTGGCATGTTTGGGAAATTTGCCTTGAAGGGGACTGTCACATTTTGTGATGTCTTTTCCTACGATGCTTTGAATTCACTGCAGGCAAAGGTGAGAACTATTAAGCTTCCTTTCTTCATAGCCTAAATTGTCAAAGCTTTATATGGTGCTGAAAGCACAACCCTCAAAGCAGTATCCTGGGCCTGAGGGTCAGCTTGTTGTTTCTCCAGGCACATTTTGAGAGTCAGCCAAAAGTGGTAGCTACTTTGTGTGTGTGCACGCGCCAAGTTCTGCAGCAAGACAAGTCTCTACTTCAATCACAAACTTCACTACGACATTCCACAGTGTCAACACCTTGTGCTTAAAAGATTTCTCCTACAGTCAGTCTTAAATCTCTTGCCTCTAATGCTATATGCATGTTTCCTTCATCCAAGCTCCCATAAATCACTAGAAAGTCAGTTTCTATGTATTCCTTCATAAAGTTAAGCAGCCATAGCAAATTAATGTGTAATTTCTTCTGTTTTAATTAAAACAATCCTGATCTTTCAAGACACTTTGCGTTTGTGTCTCCTCAAACAAGCATGACCACATTGAATCTGCATTCCATACACTTTATTGCTTCAGTATCTTTCTCACAGACTGCAGCCCAAAATTACACTCATCAGTTTTTCCATTTATATCCTCTTTACACAGAGTATAAAAACTCAGTCATAAAATCATTGGGATGCTTGGTCTGTGGTTACTACTGCTTGGGTACGTGCCATATCCAAATGTAATACTTTAAAGTGTATATTCTTACAAATAATGTACTATTAAAATAGCAAAAATTACCGCTTAATACCAAATTTTGAATTAACTCTCATCCCCTTTCTCTATTCACCATTTTTCTTTGTGCAACAGCTGTCCCCATTAAGTTGGGAGTCTAAAATAGTTTGAACAGCAATCCATCAGAGTGTGATAGAGATGTACAGCATGGAAACAGACACCTCAGTCAAACTTGTCCATCCCCACCAGATATCCTAAACTAATCTAGTCCAATTTGCCAGCATTTGGCCCATATCCCTCTAAACCCTTCCTATTCATTTACAAGGCATCTGGATGGGTATATGTTGTAATTGTACCAGCCTCCATCATTTCCTGAGGCAGCTCATTCCATACACGCACCACCCTCTGCATGAAAAAGTTGCCCCTTAGATCCCTTTTAAATCTTTCCACTCCTACTTTAAACCTATGCCCTCTCGTTTTGGACTCCCCAATCCCAGGGAAAAGACCTTGACTATTCACCCTATCCATGCCCCTTATGATTTTATAAACTTCTATGAGGTCACCTCTCAGTCTCTGACACTCCAAAGAAAATAGCCCCACCTATTCAGACTCTAACCCTTCAACCCTGGCAACATCCTTGTAAATCTTCTCTGAACCCTTTCAAGTTTAACAACATCTTTTTTTATAGCAGGGAGACCAGAATTAAATGCAGTATTCCAGATGTGGCCTGACCAATGTCCTGTACAGCTGCAACACAACCTCCCAACTGTTATATTCAATGCGCTCAGCAATAAAGGCAAGCATATCAAACACCCACTACCCTGTCTACCTGTGACTCCACTTTCAAGGAAACTATGAACCTGCACTTCAAAGTCTCTTCGTTCAGCAACACTGCCCCGGATGTTACTAATAAGCATACAAGTCTTGCCCTGATTTTCCCTACTAAAACATAGTACCTCACATTTATCTAAATTAAACTCCATCTGCTACTGCTCGGCCCTTCGGCCCATCTGATGAAGGTCCCTTGTACTCAGAGGTAAACTTTTTTGCTGTCCACTACACCATAGAATTATCACTGCCCACTTTATGAAAAGAAAAATTTACTAAAAATCGTTTATGAAAGAGATACAAGTTCAGATGCCACTTGAAGTTGGACATACAAATTATGGTTAGCCTATAATCACATGAGCTATTTAAGACTCAATTCTAACTATTTCTGCTCCCAAAATATATATTTAAAACTCCCTGTATAGTGAAAGGTTTCCCAAGCAGTAGTACAGTTCACCATTCGGACTATTCTGTTTTGTTTCTTCTTTTTTACTATATTTTAAAGTAACCACCATTATAAAATCAATTTCTACTACATCACAAAATGACTTATTCTTCTACTGGATCTGGTTATTTGCACGAATTTATTCTATTCACAGAATCCTAATTTGCTTTGTGCGGGATTTACCCCATTACCACAATAAGAGTTGTTATTACGTTTTAAGACTCTAAATTTTGCTAAGTTTCACCCCTTTATATTGACTATAGAATAGGAAGTTAAAAGAAAACACAACATAACCTGTGTCAGGCACTGAGACATCACTCTCGATCATCTGTCTTGCAGCAGGTGAACGTTGAGGAAATGGCAGTTCAAATCAGGAAGCTAGATATATATAAAAAAAAATGATATAATGAATCAGGGGAATTAAGTCTTATTAAGGAATATATCTGACATTGTAAAAGGGCACTATTGTGAATCATTCCTTTAAGTAGGACATAACCTTGCAGAAAACTTAAATTGCCGAATTCAAAAAAAAGGTCAAAAAGTATATTTAATTCAGATGAGGAACAACACACTGTACTCCAAGAACTAATGACCTGGACTGCTTTGATAAAGTAATTAATTTAAATATCAGGGGAAATGGTGGAAAGCATTCTTTATGGGCACTCTCTAATCAGGAGTTGATAACATCTAACCACAAAAGAAATACAAACTCAGTTCTGTTTCCAAAACTAGCATTAATTTGTATCAAAAGAATTATTAGTCTACCTAATGTCTTTCCTTAGAACCTTGTGCACTGTGGCATGATTTGGATTAATTCTGTAAAGTCCAGGGATTTATATTGAAAGGGAAGTGATTTTGGGATGTTGTTTTCATACAGCAATACATAAAATAACCAAAATAAATTATATTAAATCTAGTTATCTCCAACTAATTTACGTGCAGCAAAACCTTTGCTTACATATGAATCTCTAATATTTTCACATCAAATTGGTTACTTACTATGCAGGGGCAAAAGCACAGCTATCCTCTTCAATGTAACTGGCTTCTCAGTCCTGATCTATTGTATATACAGGATTCATAATACAATCAGTGTGACCACAATAGTAACATTCCACTTCAAAATTATATATTTTCACAGTTGACATTTATACACAAGCTAACAATGAGGAATTCAGGCCACACTCCACTCCCCACCCAACCCACACTTTTCGAAGCACCAATGTATTCAATTCAGAATAATCATAAACCTCCAAGATGATAAAGTACTGTGAAACTTCTCTCTAATTCTTAAATGGTAATCTAGAACACCACAATGCTACTTAATCTTAAAATCCATCCCTACAATTTTGACCAACTACGTTCCAAATGTCTACAAAATGAAGCATTTTGGGCCACCAAATGTCACTGTCGTATAACCTTCAATCTCTTTCCTAAGCAGATACTTATTTAGCTCCTTCTGAATAAGTTTACAGATGTAACAATAAGTAACCGGGTATATTCAATATCATTATGCTGGGAAGAAACATCTTTCTAACCTGCCTCTCAGGCTTAGCTTTAAGTCCACGTACACAGTAATTCTACATTCAATCCAAGATGTTGAGTTTGGTTGATGTTCATGCAACTATCTAATAAAAATTGAACTCAAGGACAGCAGAGTGGTGCCCCTCTATGCAATTTCGCATCAGCATGAGGTGCAAGTCATTTTCACATGAGAAAAAGGAAAATCTAAGGGACCTGGTCACACCATTGCAGGGAGCAGGCTTTCAGGCAGATCGATAGAAAATCACTTAGAAGAGAGCTTTTCATGTTTTTGAATAAGGAATCACTACTGATATGTTTTTCCACAATTCCCTCTCCTCCCCTATCAGAAGCTATTGAGTCCTTCAATACATCACTTAAGTGGAAATTATTCATGTAGTACTTTAGCACCCAGGCATAATGACAAACTAGTCAACATAAAAAACAAACATTCAATCCACTCACACAATGACATGGGCAGTGTCAGCAATGTAGCCATCAGGAACATGAACCCAAAATGCTTGCCCCTCATTTGTAAAAAGAGTGTGGTGGCCCAGAGTAATTCAACAATCATTTCTATTGGAACCACAAATGAATTCAGTCAGCAGAAACAGTCCTATAATCAAGCCTGCAGAAACTCACCAAGCATCACAAGGTGGGCAGGGGGAGGCCTTGAGACGAGTTCTTATCATTTCCACTGTTATTTGTTTGACAAATAAACTTACAGCAATAGCTTATTGGGGTAGTGTGTCATTATTAAGTAACTGTATTGTTTGCTCCAGTCTCAATGAACAATTCATCCAACAGCAAATCACTTTCTTTCCAATTATGCAATCCTTCTGTCCAATTTCTGCCTCCTCCATTCTCATCTTTGTTTCATGTTCCTGGATCTCATGTAATTCATTTTAATTTACTGAATATAATCATAGTACAAGCTGTAAAAGTGAGGATATTACTCATAAAATGAACAACATCTGCATGCTCGTATCTAGTCTACGCTTTCCATTTATATTCTTGTACCTACTATTTCAACAGAAACTGTAAACATTCCATGCTGCGCTCACACCCTCCTGCTAGCAGTAGCACTTCAGCACCACAACTGGTGAGAGAATGTAACTACAATGTGACAAGTTTACATCAGCAGTTTCCATTCTAAACAAGCACACAGGACCATACCGGAACAACATTAGAGTTGTACTTTAAAAGAGTCTAACAACACTCACATGAAAATTACAACTGCTTCTGACTCAATGTGCAAAATAGTAGGGTTCATAGCAGTGTAGAACCCCAATGGGAGGTTTTCTTTGTTTTGTTATATAATGGGAGGTTCACTTTATATTCATAGAAAGTTTAAAATTTAAAAGTCCTGCATAAGTGTACACAATTCCCGGCGCAAATGAAGTTTAATTCACTAATTAACATCCATTATAACAATGGATAGTTACCTTAACAAGGTATGTAGGAAATCTTAAAGTGCCCTTTGCTAATATTTCAAAAAAAACTTTAATAAAACATCCGCAGACCAATTAAAAAAAACTGGTGCAATATAACATGACAGCAGCAAATAAAAAGCCTGACTGTACTGGAAATCCGACCACAAATGAAAAGATCAGTTATCGTCCCAAATTTGCGCTGCAATTATTTTATTTGTCCACGCTCCAGAAAACAAAACATTTCAAAAACCCAAACTCTCGCACAAAACATGAATGTTTACTTCATAGAGTCCACAAACCAAAACTCTGGCAAACGACTTTCGTAATCAGGTCAACACTTATACGTACACTTCTCCTAGTCTAGCCTCTCTAATCCCCTCAAAAAAAAGTTTCCACACTCGAGAAAGGAGTTCTACTGCGATTATTAAATATATACAACTCATTTTAAACATGGTAAACACATACTTCGAAATTCGAAAACAGACCCGGAAGACGAGACTACCTTGTGAGAGAATAAAACGATTACAAGTCAAACATGTTGCGAGGTTTTAATCAAAGTTGCTGGAAAGAATCACAAGAAAGTGCAATCGACTACATGGTGGGGCCCGGCTAGGCTGATAGTAACAAATCTGGTTACCAGGCAGTTGTGTCAATTTCACACCACAACAAAATCCAAAACACTCGAAAATGGAACGTTTCGCCTCAAAATAACCAATGCGGGATCTTCGAGAACACAATGGAAACATTGTAACGAAATGTATCAACATTCAGCAGCGAAATGCCTTTCGATCACGTCTTTTGACTTTTGTTGCCAATAATGCCGATTGCTATTACGGCAGAGTTATCATGACAGTGTTGCCTAACACTGAGCTGTTATTACCTGATTTTCGCCCTGCTAAAATGATCTGCTCCTTCGAGGCGGATTGCTTACATTGATCAATCGCCGACAGCCTCATTTAAAATGACAGAAGAAAAAACCCTCCGATTCCCATTCAGCAGCTGTTTATAAAGAATCCCTACTCAATATGGCTCCGTGGCAAGAAAGTGCACAGCACTATGGGAATGGTTGCCATAAAAGGGAGGTTACATTTCATCACAAATTGATGGTCTGTGAGTGAGATACATTTTACGGTTTGTGTATTGCAATCGTCTGTATTTGCTAAAAGAAGCTTTACCATCTTAAATATACATCTTAACGGGGGTGGTTTCAAAGCTGTATTACCCGAGTTGTGGTTATCGGAAATGGGTAACAGACTTCTGAATCCAGATGAAATACTGTCACATCAACCAAATCTCGGCGTTTGTGAATTTACAACAAACAGTATCGTCAGTATGAATGCACTTGGTTAAAGTTTGTACACCAGCCGGATATCATTGTCCTGAAATGGTGTTCGGCCGTGTCTTTGAGAGAGGGGAGGAGTTAACTGCCATCCTCGTCATGATGTCACACTCAAGCTGTGATGTGTTTTAACACATTATGTAAACAAATTGAACAGGAATTGGCCAAGACACCATCTTCTTGAACATTATGTATCATTGCAAGTTATTTTCTTTAATTTAAAAAAAAGCTGTTCAACTGAAGTATTTCCGTCTATGCTTGTGACCTGAGTAAGTGCCGTTGGCATCCAAATTACCACATTCCTGGGAATGGGTTGCAGGTTCATTAGAAGAGGAATGGCATAATGAGGAAAGATCGCTTTTATCTCAGGCAAGGCTGATTTGGGTAGGGTCAGGTATTGGAATAGTCAAGACCGGCTGTAATAGGTTTGCACCCTCAGATTTTTTTCTTTACTATTTCTCCATTTTTGCTTACTCTCTCTCATTCTCTTAGTGCTTGTTCATCCCTCACCGTCCTTCCTGAATAAATGTGTGATCATCTAAGATTGTGCAGACTGATCCTGATTTACCCTTTGCCCTGCAGTTGATGCTATGAAGGAGGGGGGTGGTAGTAAAAGGACTGGTTATCTGTAAACTCTAGGATGTTTGCAAAAACTCCACCACAGAAGTGAGTGGAAATTAAAACTACTTCAATAATTAAATTCACTTAACAAATCTAAAGCTAAATGCTGGTTACATTAATAATGACTGTGGCACCGTTGCTGTTTAAAAAAAAGCTATCTAGTTGACGTATTACCTTCAGGGCAGAAAACCTACATGTGAATTAAGGCCACAGCAATGACTGAAATGACCTGTTAGACTGGGTTTGTGGCAGGGGGTGAGGGAACTAACAAGAGGGAAACATCTATTTCACTCCTTACTCGCCAATCTACAAGTTGCAGGTGTAGCCTCTGAACAGTTTTTGCGGAGACAAAGTCCTGTCTTCATCATTAAAATATACCCCCCATTGTGCTGTCTGGCATTGTGCTAAATGGGATAGATTTCAAACAGATCTAACAAATGAAAACTGTGTCTCCATGTGCCACTGTGGGCCAGTAGTACTTTATTCAACAACAAGCTGTAATCGCATAGTTTGGCATATCCCTCACTCTACCATTACCATCAAATTGGGGACTGAATTTTGTTCAGATTAAAGTGCAGGAGAGTATGCTAGGAGCAACATATCTTAAAAAAAAGAGATGTCAACCTGCAACTTCTAACGTGCCAAAAAAGTTGAGCACTATGCATAGATGGAGCTAAGTGTTCCTACAACCAATGGATTAGATCTAAGGAGAAGGCATCACAAATATCCCCGCCCTCAATGATGAGGAGCCCAGCACATTACTGCAAAAGATGAAGTACTGAAACAATCTTCAGCCAGAGATCGCAAGTGGATGATTCATCTCAGACTCGTTCTGAGGTTTTCCCAGTATCACAAATGCAAGTCTTCAGACAATTCAATTCACTGAACATGATGTCAAAATGGCAGAAGGCACTGGATATAGTAAAGGCTATGACTGGGTTCTGGTTACATTCTGGAAATAATACTAGAGATGTGCTCCAGAACCTGCCCCTAACCAAGCTCTTCCAGCACAGCTTCAACACTGACATTAATTCAGCAATGTGAACAATTGCCCATGTTTGCCCCATCCACAAAAAGCAGGACCAATACAACCTTGACAATTTCTGCCACGCTTGATCATCAGCAAAGTGATGGTAGGTGTTATCAACAGTACTATGGAGCAGCACTTTTAAAGGAATAACCTGCTCACAGTTGCTCAATTTGGATGCAGCTCCTTCCCTTGGGACAGCCTTGATCCAAATGTAGACAAAAAGATCTGAACTCAAGAATTGAGATACTCAAGCAATCAAACATGCATTTTATAGTCAAATTTTAATTGGGTTGTTGCGAGTATCCATTCATCTTAATATTTTACAGAGAATTATTTAGTTCTGTAAAGATTAAAATTATAAAAGTGAAGTAATTAAAATGCTCTGCTTTAGAGATTGTCAGGACACCTAAACTAAGACCAAAAGATGACCCATGTTTGTATAAGTTAGAAAAGATAGAACTGTAAGATAGCAAGTGGGATTACTTGGTTAAAGATCAGGAGTGTTGATGTCTACAATAATTGCAAGAACAATGGCAATCCAGACAGATTTTGATGAATTGCTTTTATAATAACTCTGGTGGGTCATTTAGCTCCGTTGGCTAGATGACAGGTTTGTGATGCAGAGTGATGTGGTTACCATGAAGGACTTTCCTTCTCAACTTCTCCCATTCACTGTATAATATCTACCTCTAACTACACCTATCAATGAAAAAATAGATATTGTTTCCTGTGGGCAATTAGAATATACCTTGCCGATGCACTGTTTACACTACAACAATAAGTAAAATCTAAAATGAAGTATATGAGCAGAATAAAATCTCCTGCAATGTGGTTAATGTGGGCTTTACTCATGTAGAAAAATTGGTGTATTCCGATCACCATCACCATAACTCAATCATTATAGGAATGTACAGGACCAGAAAACCAGCAGTTCATCTCACTGATTTGCAATTAACTTTCAAGGCCCTCTCTCAAATAGTTATCCAATTCTCCCTAGAGAAATCCAGATTCTCTGTCTCTGAGGGAGGTCCATTTCTCATCACTATCCACAAAAATGTAATCTAACTGTTGGTGCTCCTTTACTCTTCCAACCCTGAGTTTACATCTGATTCTCTTCAAAGTGTCACAATATTAAACATATCAATGTTAAACAAGGTTCAACTTATCTCAATTTAAGAATCATGAGTAATATCTTTACCAAGCCTTCTTTCTCGGTGAACAGTCTCAGGTACTTCAAACGCTCATGATGACTTAAATACTGTAAGTTAGGAATCAGGATTGATTACACTTTTGCCTTCTGCATTTTGAATATTCTGTTATAGTAGAAATGCACACTACTTGGTAGTATCTGTACCTTGTGTGCAATCTGTATCACCTCCTGAGATTTGTGATTTAGTCCTTTAGTTATAGATTGCAACTGGAAACTTACCTTCCTGTTTCCACATATTATACTTTTAATAAACTATATCCATTAGTACTCCTGGATCCATGGTTTTTAGCATATAGCTGCTTCGTTTACATTCATTACTTTAATCTCATAACCGTGCATCTGACTATATTCAATTTTAATTGTCACTAATTAGTCCTTCTTCACAATGATCGAGGTCCCTTAATGAGTTTACTTGTTTCCTATTTCTTTTAACCTCAGCCTAAATTGGTGTTATCTACAAATGCAGCTTTTCTTTTGTCCCTAGCTCTAAATCAATCTTAATGACGATTCTTCCATCACTTTGCCAAGGCCTTATTCAGTCAAATGTAATTTGCCTTTACATATCTGGGTTGGCAGTCATTTATAAATCCCAGGAAAGAAGCTTGACTGGGATATCCAAATCACCAACATATACTG